CTATACAGTTACGTTCGAACCATCAATTGACATTAACGATTAATGCACCCAGCTTCAAAAAAGGATGAGATGAAATTTAGATTAGTGCAGTCGGCTTTGATTTGGAGCCGAAGATTTGCTCCTCGAGAGAGCTATGGATCTAGGATGCGGTGTGTGTTAACGGTTTGAGAGTTATTCGCTAAAAACCTACAGACGACTTTCATTCTTAAAACTCCAAAATCAGCAGACGGATGTAAAAAAGTGGAGATGGTTTTCTGGCCAAAAAACAAAGACACGAGAAACGCTAAGAGCAGCTTCTCTTTGAACACTCACAGCTACTGATGGTGGTGAACCTCAGCTGTCGCCATCGGCGAACATATGAGAGTAGAGATTTCAGGCTAGCACCGCCAATGACAATGCCCCAGTTATTTACACCAGCGAAATATATAAATTACTATAATGGAAACAGCTTTCAAAGGGCAACAATTTTTGAGTACGTTATGCTGTAGACGCAGATGAAGGATGCCAATGGGAAAATTATCCTATTCAATAAACAAAAACACTTTGGATTGATGTCCTGTTATGTTTAAAGTTGACGAAGTCAGTGGTGTGGGGTTAACTTTAAACTGGAAAACCTGGCATTATGAAAAGCACAAGCACTATGAAATATATGTCAAGCTGAGTGATGACGGAGGACTAACAGATTCGGTTGTAAGATTATTGTTGAAGTTTACCGATTACGAACCGATAATCAACCATCTATAACATCATGTCTAAAACGAATGCGATATCTAGAAAATTCTAAGGCAGGAACTGTTGTAATATATTTAATGTTCAAGATCCTGACTCTGGAGAAAATGGGAAAGTCGCATGTCATATTTGAAAGAAGCGAATGCCTTTAACTGATGAAAACAACTCCCAAAATTCTAGTTAGCTGGACAGACAGTGAATTAGACAGAGAGAGAGCCTCTGAGTATAATATAACAGTGACCTGCTCTGATGAGGGAGTACCCTCCCTCTCCAGCAGCGCACTCTCACCTTACAGATCTCTGATGTGAATGACAACGCGCCGGTCTTTGAGAGGAGCGCTCATATGAGGCCTACATTGTTAGAAAACAACACACCAGGCCTCTCTATATTCACCAGTGAAAGCCAGAGACGCTGACTGGAACCAGAATGCCCGTGTGTTTCTTACATTACTGGAGGACTCCTCTGTTAACGGGAGTGCCAGTCTCCTCATATGTGTCCGTTAGTGCTGATAGTGGCAGTCATCCATGCAGTGCGCTCTTTTGACTACGAGCAGATCAAAGATTTCCACTTCCCGTCAAATGCAGATGGAGGCTTCTCCTCCACTAAGGTAGCAATGTGACTGTGGAAAATACTGATCCAGCGACCAGAACGACAACCCTCCTCAGGTTCTGTATCCCAGTCCAGACTGGTGGCTCTCTGGTGGCTGAAATGGTGCCTCGTTCAGCAGATGGGCTATCTGGGTGACTAAAGTGTGGCTGTTGATGTGGACTCTGCGACAGAATGCCTGGCTCTCCTATAAACTGCAGAAAGCCACAACAGGGCGCTGTTTGAAGATGGGCTTACAGAATGGAGAATAAGAACTATCCGCCAAGTCACTGATAAAGATGCAGTGAAACAAAGACTGACTGTTATAGTGGAGGACAACGGGCAGCCCTCTCGTTCAGCTACAGTCATTGTTAACGTGGCGGTGGCGGCACAGCTTCCCTGAAGTGCTGTCGGAGTTTCACTGACTTTACACACGAACAAGGAATACAATAAAACCTGACTTTTTACTTAGTGTTGGCTTCTGGCTGTAGTTTCCTTCCTCTTCATCACGTGTTTAGTGGGTTATTATATCAGTTGAAAATCTACAGATGGAGAACAGTCTCGCATCCTGTATTCACTCCAATCTCCCTGTTGATTCCATATATCCACCACGTTACTCCAGACACTTATGGGGACAGGCTCTCCAACACTTACAAACTAACGCAGGTGTGCAGGCACGACTGACTCCAGAAAGAGTGACTGTAAGTTTAGGCAGAGCTGGTAGTCAGAACGTGCTGATAATGGACCCCAGTTCTACAGGACGATGCAGCGATACAGTAAATGAAAAAGAGCATCCTGGATGAACCAGACTCTCCTCTAGAGGTTTAGAAAACTGTTAACAATCACATTTTTTTTCATTTTAATGCAAATCAAGATCAAGGCGGTGTGCATTAATTTCATGGGCAGTAGTTAGTATGAGTCTGAAAAAGACCTTAAAAAAATGCCTGAGAGGTTAGGAAATGCTACAGAGTTCCTATTCAGCACCATGGACAGCCTCACTTAACAACAACTAACTCCAGCTAATTTGTTGTGCCTTTTATTTTTGTCTTGGCATCATCACTTTTATTCATATCAACTTCCTATAATTTAAAAAACACTTTTTTCTTTTTATAAACAGCATTTAATTAGTTGCAAAAACACTTAAACACAATATTATCAATGTGCGTAATTTAATCAACAGCCAAATTACTCTGGTTGTGGTTCTGTTTATAAATAGTGTGATTCTGCAGTAAACTTTTTTATTTGATATAACTTGGTTGTAATTGAATTTGTCAACTCAAAGGGTCGCTGTTGGCAAGCTGTTGGCCATATAACAGATGTTATTTTTGTCTGTGTCCTGCCCCTTGACTCCGATACGTTGGACACAATTAAGAAAAAAGGCAGAATGCACAGTCCAGCGCTCATAAGGAGCACTGCGAGGAATAGTGTAACTGGATACATTTTCAGCTTTCTATATTGGATTGCCGGAATTTTTTTTTCCTTTATGCTATTCTACTTCGCATTGACTGCAATGGGAAGCTTTTCTTTTAATGGTACAGGAACCGAAACGACATCTGACAGAACAATGAGACGGCAAGTTACTGTTGTTTCTCTCGGTCCTGTGTCTGAGGCTACGTGCTTGGGCAGGTCACGCTACTCCATTCCCGAAGAAATGGCCAAAAGGCTCTGTTGGTGTAACATAGCGAATGATTTAGGTTTAGATCTTAAAAGACTTGAAATCAGGTAAAGCTCGTGTCTATACTGGAGGCGGTGTGGTAGTTATCGGGAAAAACTGAATTAAGAAAGGATTCCTCCTTATCCAAGGAGAGGATAGACAGAGAGGCTTTTATGTGGAGAGACGACGCCTTGTGCTTTACATTTCCAGCTAATTCTCGAAAATCCAATGGAATTGTTTCGTGTTACAGTTTAGATTACGATATAAACGATAACACGCCCAGTTTC